CAACTCTGTCTGCCATAGTCTGATTTTTTTTTTTTTGAAATCCATTCTCTTTATTGGACTCTTCTCCCTCTTTTCATTGCTTAAACATGAGCCATTTCATCATCACTTTCATCCCAGTTGCCTTCCATTTTCATATTCTCAACCAGTTCTTATTTGTCAATCAAATCTAGAACAACCTCTTCTCTAGTAGCTTTCTTCGCCTTCTGAAATAAAATATTGCTTCCAATACATTCAAAGAATTTGTTTAATCTGTTCCCTGCTGTGTTGTTTTCCCAACAGATGTCTGAGTAATTGAAGTCCATCACCGCCAAGGTCATTGCAGTTTTAAAACCTGGAAAGCTATCCAATGGCCTTGACAACTAACTATCGAAGTATGTTACACAGAGGAGAGAGAGAAATTATTGGAGGCAAGCCTCTGTCCAGGAGACCACCGTTTCAGCTTCAGAGCAGGGAGGAACTGCTGTGACTAGTTTGCACTCACTACACACTGAGGCTCACTTCCAGCAGAAGCTAAAAACAGCTACAGTTTGTCATCTAACATATGGGGCTACTGCTGAAATTATTCAACTTCTACAGTGCAACCAGATGTTTGACTCATTAAGTCACTGTCTTTGGACAGACTGTTCCACTTCCATTAGCAGTCAAGTGGGCAAAAAGCAGAGTTCAATGGCTTCCCAAGAGATCAGTTCTCTCCATGGTCAGGTACTGCATATCTTTTTCAGGTCAAAAGTTTTCATATAGACGTTGTTCATACTAAACATATCTGAGTTTTGTAGCTAGCACCTTGAAGTCCATTCTTCTGCCTTTTGGTTTTCAGTTCTCTCAAACGTTTTCTAGCCAGTGACGGCTCGTCTAGACTGCATTCCTCCTTCGAAAGAGGAATGCAAATGAAGCAGATCAAAAATTCAAATGAAGCATGGATTTACAAATCTTGCCCTTCATTTGCATAACTGTGTCAAGTGCTTTTTCAAAAGGCTTTTTGGAAAAAACTCAGTCTAGATGGGGTTCTTTGGGAGGGAACCCCTTTTTCGAAAGCACCTGTGCACCTCATTTTTTCAGGAGTACAGGGTTTTTTCAAGTGTGGGTTTTTTTGTCCCCCCCCCCCCCCAAAAAAAAGAATCCCATCTAGACTGCGAGGCTTTTTTGAGTTTTTTTAAAAGCGCTCTGATGCAATTATGCAAATGAAGCACGAGATTTGTAAATCCGCGTTTTATTTGAATTTTTGATCTGCTTCATTTGCATTCCTCTTCCGCGAGAGGAATGCAGTCTAGACATAGCCTGAAAGGGATGTTGCATAAGTAGAAGGCTCTAACTAACCACAGCTCCCACTCCATGACAACTTCATACTTTTGTATGTGCTTTAAGTCCTGCCGACTATTCTGAGCATCTAGAGAAGCTTTTTTGTTATCCAGCTTCGACCCAGAAGACATCTGGCAGATGCAGTGGGCAGACTGACAAAATAACATGTGCCATGTAGCTGATTGCATGATCAGATCTCCTGGATTCTTGTGCAGCTAGTTGTTTGTGTATCAATCATATTAGAGCATTGCATGGAAGTTGCATGCCACTGATGCACTAATAAAGAATCAAGAATTTGCCACAGAATGAATATGGAGACCTCCAAACTATCAAACACTGTTAACGGGTGCCTCACCTTTTCCTCTACAGGAATTTTATAGCATCCGAAGCTCTCAAATGGATTTCAGACCTTTCCATAAGATTACTTTTTTGAGTTAAGTGGAACTCCTCTGTATGCTATTGCCCTAGTTCTGCAGTTGGAATGTCATGGTAGCTTTTTGCTGCTGTTTTGAACTTTAGTGCTGGAAGCGGGCTTGCTTTTCTGGACCCCTGCACAGGATGGAAAATGAATTCCTCTCTTTGAATTCCTCTTTGTTTCCTTAGGACCCTCAAATTGGATATGGGGCACTAAGTTTAGTACTTCTACCTCTGTGCTCATCTAGCAGTTCTACAGATAGTTTGGGGGAGAGCAAGCCCCCTACCCCAGAGTAGAACCCCAGCACCATAAGACTGGGCCGGAAGTCAAGAGACCGTGAACTTGGAGGGAAAGGTAGAAGCTGCTTTCCTTTGAATTTAAAAAAAAAAAATCCCAACATCCTCTTCCACTCCCCCCTCCCAAAACAGTCAAGTTTGAGGGAGGAGGCTGTGCACCTCATTGGTCTTCCCCAGTAGAGGAGAGGCAATGTAGGAACTAGGGATGTTAAAATTAGGTTATTTAATAGTTGAGTAGTTGGTTGATTACTCAATAGGGGAAGGCAGCCAACTCAGTCCTGTCTCAGGCCGGGACCAAACCCCGCTACAGCTGTACAATTTAGAATGCAGTAGGAACCAGGGGGCAGGTTGCCCAGCTCCTACTGCCTTTAGTTGCAGAGTGGTAGTGAGGTTTGGTCCTGGCACAAGCTGGGCTGCCCCCCCAGCCGACAGCAATCCCTAGTTCTCTCCTCCTCCTCTTCTCCCCCCCTCCCCCCGCCGGTGCTGGGGGTAGAGACGGTGCTAGGGCAGAATCAACTTTTAAAACAATTATAGACATATACATATTAACTTGCATTTACAGGCAGTCCCCAAGTTACTTATGTCGGATCCGCAGTTACGAATGGGCCTTTTCTCGCCCCGGAGGACGGGAGTGGCGGGACGCCCAGATGCGCCGCGGTCCACCGCCCCCGTCCTCCAGGGCCGAGAAGCTGCTCCCCGTCTCCCTGGTCTGCAGGGAGACGGGGAGCAAAGCCGCGGAGCACGCCCGCAGGGGGACAGCTCAAGCGCACCCGGGCTGTCCCGCTGCGGGCGTGCTCCAAGGCTTTGTTCCCCGTCTCCCTGGTCTGCAGGGAGACGGGGAGCAAAGCCGCGGAGCACGCCCGCAGGGGGACAGCTCAAGCGCACCCGGGCTGTCCCGCTGCGGGCGTGCTCCAAGGCTTTGTTCCCCGTCTCCCTGGTCTGCAGGGAGACGGGGAGCAAAGCCGCGGAGCACGCCCGCAGGGGGACAGCTCAAGCGCACCCGGGCTGTCCCGCTGCGGGCGTGCTCCAAGGCTTTGTTCCCCGTCTCCCTGGTCTGCTGGGGGGGAGGTGCAGCTAGTGCCCACTCCCCCCTCCCCCTCCCCAGCAGACCAGGCTTTTCTTGCCTACCCCTGGGGTAGAGCAGCTGGGGGCTGCCGGGTTGGTCCCGCAGCCCTGCTCCGGACCAACCCGGCAACACCCCAGCTCCTCTGTCCCAGGAGTCCTGATTCAGCCACTGCTGGTCAGTTTCAGCAGCGGCTGGATCAGG